CTGTCAGTAAGATCTGGAGGAGCACTAATGAAATGAGTGTTAGCTTACAATGTCGTAATTGCAGTAGGATGTAACCACTTGTAGTGTACCACGTACATGGCGCTGAGTAGACGACAGAAGCCAGCGTCTTATAGGGAATACAGCTGCAATCTGGGGATGTGCAGGGAAGAATCCTCCCCCAAGCCCACAGAAGACCAAGCAAGGAAGGAAGGGATGGCGCAGAATTGGGTGAAAAGAGCAGAACTCCCTGTCGCCGTCCCGTCCCAGCGCCTGCGATGGGTTACCCGTGAGGCTGGCAGGTGGCACTGTGCTCCCGGGGATGGCAGGGCATGGTTGTTAATAACCACAGGCACTTATTTAGAATTAAACAAATTGAGAGAGGTTGAAGGCCACTGACTAACCATCACGGTCTAGGAGCTCAAGTCAGCCAACATCAAACTGGAAATAGGTTCATCCCTGCCCCATCAATCCACCCTGCCCCATAGATCCGCCCCATAGATCCATCCTTGCCACATAGATGTGCCCCATAGATCCATCCCATCCAACCTGCAAAGATTGCTTAAAACAAGAAGCATAATTTACTCTTGAACTGCATTATACATTGCCAATTATCCATGTTTTCTCAAAGATGTGCTTTAATTCACTGCAACTTGCTGTTTTGTATGAAGAAAATTCCACAACCTTTCCTGTGTAGGAGGCTCTATTAGCTTATGAAAATAGTTTATTCTGGCCTTAAAAGCAAATAGTCCATTTTCAGCTCATTTTTATCCCAGTTTTTGGGCAAGTTGCATACCACTCATGGGGTGTGTCAGTGAAGTTAATAAGATGATTTTACTCCATTTCCAGAGGTCTGATTTCACATGTTCCTACAGACTGGTGCTTCCTACTGTCTCCATTTGACCCAGCTGTAGTGAGAGACAGGTTCTGGGGTTTTAGATTCAGAAGTGTTCAAATGTGAGTCTAAAGTTATCGCTGTTTTTTCTGTCCTTTTTGTAGGCAGGATTGTGCCTAAGTCCAATGGGCCATCTGATGTTCTGGATGTGGCTGTATATCTAACTGCCCCATATTTGATCTGCACCTAACTTCATTTGAAGACATCTTATGGGATGTCAGTATTTTTTTTTTTTTTTGTACAATGGAAAAATAAATATAAAATAACTTAAATGGGCAGGCCTTTTAATATGTTTCTTTCATTAAAATTGCAACTTTAAAAAAAGCAAAAAATGTTTCTTGAAGACAATATGTAGATCAAGATAGCATATGAAGGATTGAAATGAAGGACACCCTGGTTTCATTTTACTGATAAAGCATGCAAAACTTTACAGAAAATACTATAACATTCCAGTGTTCCTGGAGGTTTGTGACTGTGGTGGGGATCTTTTTGGCAGGATTATAAAATAGACAGCTAAACTGAATCTGTGAACTAAATGCAGAAATATGTTTCTTTCTTTGTTTATAAAAAAGCAGGTGCTGAGATGAAAACATAGCAGACCTAACATCTAAAAGACAGTGTTGGCTTTTATAAGGTGACAATAATATCTGGAAAACTAAAAAACATCAATACCTATCCATCCCAAAATATATATTTGAGGGGGTGTATCCAAGATCTTATTAATCAAAACATGATTCAACATCCTCCCTTCCAAAAAACTGTAAGGAAGCACAAGTTATACTGTAAAGCCAAAACAAAGCTAAAAGCAGTAGCATAGTCTAAAATAATAGAGATTTATGGAAGTGAGCAATAAGTATGACAGCAGGTAATCACAAAACTGTGGTGCACTACCTTTCAAGCAAATGAAAAAATAATTTGTTAGAAACTAAAATATTGATTACACATTTCAATGCATGTTAAGGAGCAGCTTAATGAAGATCTCACAGTGGTTGCCCACAGAGAATTATACACATATTAGAGCTCTTCAGGGCATACATTTAAGAAACTCTAAGTCTATTCACATAGATTTGTTTCCAGGATATTTTTCCAGTAAAGGCTGATGTAAAATATTTCAAAAGGACAAAGGTAGTAGGCTGTATCTCTGAATGCCTCTATGACTGAGAGAATGAGATATACTTGTACATCAAAGTGATGGATGACTGAGATAAAAATTACATAGTAATACTATTGTATGTGTTCCAGAAAAATCTTATTTACAGGCATACATTTTAAGGTCAAGAGAAACCAGTAAGGTCAGAAGAAGACATCTGTTTTGATCTTCTCTATAAAAACCATAGATTTTCTGCCAGTAATTTCTGCCTCAAGCCTGGAATTTCTCTAGAACAGCTCATATAATAAAAATTTTTCTTTCATTTTCTAGCAATGTAAGTACAAAGAAATATGATTGTGTGAACAGTGACAGGCTCTCATCTGTATTTGTGATTAGCGTTATCTTTGAAAATGGCAACAAGTCCTGCTGCTGCTCTTCTTTTCTCTCTAGTGCCACATTTTGTTCCCTTTTTTTGCATTGCTCTGGCCTTTGGTGGTTTGATTGAAATAATACTGAGATATTTGTCTTCCATTACAAATTCTCTTAGAATTATTTACTTTGAACTCCATTATCTTGGTTTCTTGACTAAGAGATAACATAATTTTCAGAAATTATAAGAAAGTTGCTTTTTAGACTTAGTTGGAGGATGTCACTAACACTTTGGATGGTGCTCTTTATTGACATTAGGACCTAACAAAGGATGCCAAAATAAAAAGTCTGTTTCATTGTTTTGTTTTTCCTTTTATTTCCCACCCTACACAACCTGTCTATTTATAATCTTTTTTTTCTATCATTCAGTAGGGGAAAAACTTTGATGAGAACCATTTTCATCCTGCACAAAGTTAAAAAATGTACACTTTCGGTATTTCTGATTAATTACACCCTTTCCCATACGGTCTTTATATTTTCTCTGACTCACTTGCAAAACCTAATCTATCCTGTTTTGTCTACATTTTTTTTCTGAAATTCCCCTGGTGTTAGAGGATTAAATCTGTGGTGCACAGCTGGGGAGTGAGTTTGCAAGTGTACAGGAATAAGCAGACTTGCACCAGCAGGTCACTATTGAAACTCACCCACCAGGGCTGGCAGCAGAGAAAGCCTCCTAAGAAGTTGTATTGTTTTCCACTCAGTGAATATGCCAGTAACTAATGGCAGAGAAATGCTGAGAATCACTTGGTTTTCTGAGATCTAGAAGCCAAGTTAATTGTTTTGTTTGCCTGATTTATTATACTTGAATGAATAAAGTGCTGTTAATATTGCACTTTGAGCAAGTAGTTAAAGCCAGAATAGTCAGAAAGTTATTAATCTGGTTGGAGCACCTCAGTTTTATGAGGGAACTAAGTTAGAGATTCATTTTAGAATGTGGATATCTGTATCTCACTTCAATTCAAAGTGGAAGCATATACCAGCAAACTTTATGCCAATATATTGTCTCTAAAATAATCTTCCAAATAACTGTTTTTGAAAAACAGAAGTTTTCCCATTTTTTATACATTCTTACTCTTCTGTCCAAGTCAAATATTGAAATTCAAATGGAAATTAATGATTATTACTTGGTATCCAAAACAAAATATATTTGACATGATGGAAGTGTTTGGGGCTTTCATAAATGTGTCATCAATGTCTAAATATCAGTTACTTGACATAATACCTAATATTTACTTAATTTTCTCTTTATGAGCAACTTGGGAATGAAAGTATTTTTTCATTGTTCCTTGATTGTTTAGATAATGACACAGATCAAGCAGAAGTCATTGCAGAGACAGGGTTAGAGCACCAGGCTACAGCTAATCCCACAGCTGCTTCCCATAAGGGCTTGTAGTCACCCTCTGATATCTTACATCCTTGTGGCCAATTATATTCCTGCATGTTGAAATTGCCACAGTGTGATACCTTTTCCCTCCCCATCCTACTTCTTGCACAGAAACCCAGCATCACTGTAGGGTACTGGTATGACCTGCTCAAATATTTTTTTAGCTCTGCAAGGTTGGTGTGTCCTCATTTATAAAAATCAACAAACAAATTTTTTTGCATAATTCTACTTTTTTTCTTTTCTGTCTTCTTTCTTCCCTGCCTCTTCATCTAGCCCTAGCTGAATACGACAAATCATCACTAGAGAAAAGCTTTCCAAAGGAAGCTCTTTCTGCATTTAACTCTGAAGTACTGCTCAGATGAGAACAGAGTTGTTGGGGTAGGGAATATGCCTTGCCAGAGATATTTACAGAGGCTGTTCTGCCGTGAGATGGTAGAACCTTGTTCTAGAGTCTGAGATCTGCAACATCTTTGAGTCTTGATATCATGACAGTTTGTGGGCTGAAATCTGTCCAATGTTGCTGCTGGTCTGTTGACTAAGAGACTTATGGTTTTGAATTTAGAATAGTAATTAGATCCAGAAGCAAGTGTGGATACATCAGAATACATACAGCCCTGGAGTAATGTGTTCTGAATATTCCTGTCAAACCAATCATGATTTGTGTGGCTTTCCTTTTCTTCAGTGAGAGACAGTATAGGAATAACTGCAGGATGCTCTTGGTCTGGGAGAAAACAGTTCTTTGGAATAAATATCACAGTGAAAACTTTCCACCCTTAGCCTTCATTAATTTTTCCATGTCATCTTAGTATATTTAAACTCTGTAAGAAATTATGCTGCAAAAAGTTCTTCCCACGTGTAATTTTTCCTCAAGTGAAGTGCATACCTTTCAAATTATAAACTTCCTACTTGTCCTAGGAAAATTCTTGCTGTATAAATAATTGAACTCATCTGCAGTGAACACAAGTATTCTTTCTCTAGCAGTCTAAAATATATGCCTAAATACACATCTTGTACTTAGTGCTTTAAATAGTAATTACTCCTGTGAAGTCACTGGAAGCCCTTAAAAGGATTTGACAGTTTCCCCACAATCTTTCAGTGAATGTAGTAGCTGTGCTGTGCAGTGCAACATCCACTGATAATTCAGCAGCTGAGGAACTCAGCAAAGCCTGCTCCAAACTTCTCAGCTGTTGACAGGCTTGACTTGCTGAGAACACTGGTTAAATATAGCACAAGCGAGCTGAGCTCAACAAAGTCATTGCTGTAACACTGTGTGAAGAGACCAGAAGAGGGGAAATACAATCTGAGAACTAAACTGCCAAAGCCTAACACCACCTAGCAACAGTTGAAAAAACTTTTAAACAAAAGTCTGGGTGAGACACAGACAGAGTATACCTCCTACTTCTCCTGCCTGGGATTTCTGCGAGAAGCAGCTCCGGTCTTCTGTTCTCTACCTTGTTTCCTTCATTACTTCAACTGCTGGTAGACCTAGAAAAGTGGGAAAAGTTTCTATCTTTGTGCTCTCCTGAGCTGGATCATTCTACTCCTGTGGTAGTGCTGTGGGACAGGCTACTGTGATCCTGCTGTGATCTAAAGGATACATTCCTAGGTCCGTGTTGCTGACAGGTAAGACTGAATTAACCATTCAGTTGTTTTTGTTTGTTTGTTTGTTTGTTTTTTACAAGAACCTTTATTTTCTAGTGTCTTTTTTTAACAAAAATTTTCCTTTCTAATGTCTATTCTCTTTCCCTCTTTAAACAGTCTTCTGAATGATTTGGAAATGTCAATAGATGAAAGCTGGGATAAAAGTTTTAGAGGTTTTTTTTTATGTTTTCATGATAGAAAAGCATTGCTTAAATTATTTTTGCAGTTCTGAGAATATGCATAATGAACTAGCTAGTAGTAATATGAAAAAATGTGCAGAAATTTTGATGTATGTCTTGTTTATATCTGCTTACATGCAGACAGAAGACAAATCAACATTTAATAATAGAATGCATATCATCTCTAACCGGTGATAGTCTAGCAGCTATTAAAACCAGTGACAACCTGTGTGATAAATAAAAGGAAACAGCCATTCAGTAACAGAATTAACCAAATAGTTTGCGGCCCGGCTCATTCGTACTTTTTGTTTCCTTGCTAATTTTTAGGACCCACCTGGTTCTTTTATACTACCTTTTATACTATCTCTGGGACAACCACTCTTGGTTCTTTCTCTTGTGTTTATTTACATAGAATGAATATTAATCTCTGCTGCTTTGATTAGCAGCATAATGCAACCATCCCAAGGACTGACCTTATTTTCATTGTACCTAAGTGTGCTTGAGCTGGGTCATTGTTGTTAAAGCATGTTTTTCTATCAGCAAAATAAATGAGAAGCCATTTCTCATATGTTTTCCCCTGGCAGCAGGATGGAAGCCTGTGTGTTGTTGGAAATGCATATCCCATGGCCCCATAGTGGTCATGTAATTTAGGGGAAGGAATTGCTTAGAGTGATTTACTTTGTTTTAACTGACAAAAGCTTTTTGGTCAATTGGAGAATGAATACCACTTCTCCCTGCCACCTCTTTTAAAGCTGTTTTCTGCAAACAAAAAATCTAGTACGCAAGAATTTTTAAGATACATACTGATTGTGAGTTCATATGCAATATTAATTCAGTTATGAAGGCAGAGATTTAAAGAATGCACTTACCCTGTGCTAAAACCCTGCTCACAGATTTATGTAGAATTGTCTCAGATGAAAAATATTTGTCCTAAAGAAGGAATGAACTAACTGAGTCTGTGCTGACTGTCTGTGGTGTTTGACACTTAGTCTGTGGACTCTGGGACTGCCTCAGGGAGATAAGAATGTCTTGCTTTAGCAAATAATTCTAGTTGCATCCCTGCATACTACATAAATGACATCAATACCACATCTTAGCTGTGGATGATTGGATGGAATTAAAATACACTGAAGCAACTTGTACTTGGTGACTGAGAATGTAACTGCTTGTGAAATGATAAAATAGTTTAAGTATTAGGATGGAAAAAATTCTTAAAAGTAAAAAGTTATGCAGTGTACATTTCATTTCGTAGTAAGGGGCACACTAAAGAACTAAACAGAAACAAATTTTGGCAACTATCATTTAATGTGATAATCATTATTCTGGAATTACTAAAGCACTATGGTATCCCAAATCTAATTCTCAAAAGGAAACTTTGGAATTACTTTTTAATAAGGACATATCCTGAGAAAGTTATTTTTTCATAAGAAGGCTACACAGTGAGAAATAAATCTGAGACAATATGATTTGAACAGTCTTTGTCATCTTGACATTAGAGTAAAAATTACTGCTTCTTCTCTTCCATGAAATAAAATTAAACTGGCAAATTAAACTGTGGAGAAATGACAATTTTGACCTTCCGAAAATGTAGGGATGGCAAAATCTGGGAAAATGCTATGGTAATATTGGCTCCTTTTTTGGTTTAGTTGTTGCTCAGTGTAATGAGCAACTTCCCTTTTTTTGCATAATTTACTTTTAGCCAAGTTTTTAAAATCAAAAAGCAAATTATTAGCTTAATAACTGTCAAATGAAGTGACACTTGAACAGTCTAATAGCAGCTTCAAACTAACACATGGAGTTGTGGTTTTACATACATTTGTCTTCCTTTCCACTTCAAAATGGAGGAGGAGGCTAAAATTACTCTTTTCAACAGGTGTCCACAAAGAGGCTCTGGGATTTTCCAATCAAATCTGTGGTTTATATAATGTGGCTATTCAACAGATGGTTTCATATTTGAAAGATAGCCAATCTAATGACTACAGTGAAACCAAGGTCAATTTTATATCAAATAAAAAAATAATTTATGTTTTGGCGATACACATAGAGATTTTTGTGGAAAACAAGTAGACACAGCATACCCATTTATTTTCTCCCTCATGCACAATTTTGATTTTGTTTCTATTTACATAACTGTGGAATGGATGGTGCCTTTCATGGTCCTAAAGACTCCTTCCAATCTGAATCCACTTCCAGATGATGTTGGTGGGTTTTTAAAATTTAATTATAATATTTTCATACTTATGGTCATTATGTATTATTAATTTTTCATTGTTATATTAATTTTGTTATCATTTTAGCTGATCTAGCCCCAGCTAAATTCACCATCTTAACTGGCTTTTCATCACCTCTGTTTCAGTCTCTCTATAGAGGATATGATTGTTTTTACCACCAAATTCCAAGACTTGAAATACATTTTTAAAGCTCAGCACTGTTCTGTCTCTGCTTACATATGCCTTGATTTTTCTGAGCTCCTCCTGCTCATCTGGGGTAGATGATTGACCTTTGGCTCTGGCGTTTAGTGGTACATCCTTTATGCTACTGATTTTAGTGAGCTTGATGACACCTCATGACATCTGAGGTGTCAGATAGTGCCACTCACTGTCACACCTGACACAAATGGAAAGACTAAACATTCATATTAATAGAACTCTGTCAGCCAAAGTAGGATTCCTGCAAAAACGGATGTGCTTCCTGGAAGCAGCCTGTGGACTAAGCACTAGAATATTAGGACATCTCTGTTTTGCTGGTATGCCCTGTTTTGCTCCTCTGGGGTACAATTTCACCACTATAGCCATATCCATAATAAAAGCTTCTTGCTGATAAAGGTGTATCAGTGAAACTCCTCCTGATACAGACTTTTTCTGCCACAGACTTTCCACACATGCTTCATTTAAGGCTTTTGGTAATCTTATCTAACTCAGTTCAGGTACCCCCAGGCAGAAATTGAGAATGTGCCTCAGAGCGGTGTCAGTCAAAGGTCAGGTTTATGCCACTGATTCAGAGTGATATTTCCATTGAATTTAATAAGATTAGGTTTTAATATTCAGAAATTAGCTGATACATTTCCAGTCCCCTCAAGGGAATTTAAGAGAATGGATTATCTCTATTCCTCTCCAAATATTTTTTTTCTAAGAGACATTTTACTTTTCTTCCAATTTCTTGTTTCTTCCCTTCCTTTCTCAAGGTCTGTTGTTGCTGATTTCCCTGTTATTTTAATGTATTGATTGAATTTTGGGCAGTGGTTTTGTCCTTCAAAACCTTCAATTCTGACGATTGAAGAAAAAAAGTGAATATTTGTGAAGAAGCCAGATGAAATAGCATTACAAATGAGAAGGAACTCCATCTATTCATACTTCCTATTTCACCAAAAATGTTTAGTATATAAAATCTAGGATAAGAACTGAAAATTAGAAAGATAAAATAAGGATATTCTATTGCATAGAAGTGTTTAAATACTTCTTTACAAGAAGCTCAAATGTCTAAACTTTTCAGCTTGTGGTAGTTTTCGTTGTTAGCCTTTTCTGCTTTCCTTTTTCTTATTGTTTTCTACTGAAAGTTGTTTCCTAATTTCATACAGAATATTGGTAATTATTTGGGGACAACAGGCTTTTCTTCATTTTGGAACATATTGGATAACTGAGAAAACAATAAATTCATAAAATATTAAGAATTTTTTTTTAACCTTTCTTTTTCTCCTTAGTAGCCAGTTTTTGTATCAAGCTAGTGACACTAGAACTTGTAACATGGTCCTGCAGTTATGCTGTGAGGTGAAGGGCAGAAACAATTGTGCTGTGTCCAGTTCAGGAGAGACAGGGAGAGTCTCTGATCATGTTGAAAATGTATGATGACTCATGTATTTATGAAAATCCTGCATTTCCAGACACTTGATTAGATTTTCCATTTTATTTTGGGTCTTTGCACCTACTCCTCTTGTTTCTGCAGATAATATGTATTTTCTATATTATATTTTATTCTCAGCATCATAGTAAAATAAGCACTAATATAAGTGCAAATAGAAAGTCATCCTATGTTGGGACAGATGTGCTGCTTTTTTTTTTTTTTTTTTTTTTTTTTAATTCAATTTGGCTTGGCCCTGTGATTCTCAATCTGCTTTGTCTGGACTATCTCTCTAAACCTTTTCCACAAATAAAGCATGCAAATTGTGGCTGTAAAGGTGATCTGTAAGATTACATAGATTGTGGCATGCTTCACAATGTTTTACACACTCAGAAATACAGAAAAAATACAATTAAAAGCTTAATGTAACCTTCATCAGAAATGGGAGTAATGTGTGCATGTGCGCATGACTTTTGCAAGGAAGGAAACACTTTTTGGCACAACAGAATGCTTTGCTGAAGGAGTGGGACAAACACATCCAAAGCACAGGGAAATAGGCTGGAGCTTGTATTTTTTCCCTTAAATGGACAACCCGTCTGGTTGCTGTGCGCTGACAGAGGCAAAGGGGGTGTGAATCCAAAAGATTGCTGCACTTTGTCCAAGTGAGTTTCATTTCAAAGCTGATAAAATGACAATGAAAATCTTAATTATCTAAGATGTGGCTGAAGTCATTCAGATATAAACTGGTGGGGTCTCAAAACAAGCAGAAACCTCGATGAATTTGCACTAAACTTGTCCAGTTTGATTTACACACTTTTGAAGCTCTGTAGTACAGTAATGGTTACTTTTTTCACTTTTCCTTTTTGGGGAAATGGTGACAAAGAGTGTAATGTTTTGTGATTTATGCTGTTCAAAAATCTGTTCCAGCGCATATGTAAAAGTGATATTTTGGAATCTAAATCCATT